AATCGTGTATAATAACATTTACCCGTGACCCTCTAATGCGTATGCAAGATGACACTTAGCTTTTTAGTTCTAGCGCTGTCAATTTAATGTAGTTTAACTAAGAAATCAATATTATCCTGCCATTGACTTCGTTGCGACGACACTACACTGATAGTTGCTGCTGCTCAAAAAGGCTGCCATTACGAATTTGCCTGTAGGCTTGTTAGCACTGTACAATTGGATTAAAGTTGATGAGGAATGTTTCTTGCGTATTTTCCTCTAAGCTGTGCCGTCCGTATGAATGTAAGGGTACAGAACTCCTCCCTTCCAAATATAATGGAAGCAGAATGGCAGGACACATAAAAATGCTGCTTCAGCATGTGCTGACGGATATAGCAATAAGAAAGGAATAGCGTGCGATTTGTGAATGACATTCCCTCGTGGAGTAGCTTTATATTTAACATGAAATGTATTCATTTGTCGTTGAAAGCCTCATTACCCAATCTCAATGCCATGTCTTCTCGCCTGTAAATGTATTTTAATGTCTTAAATTATTACTACACATTGATTTTAAAATGCGAATGAAATGACTCCGTCCTGAGTGATTAGCTGCCATATGAATGAAATGACTCGCACTGCATGATTAGATGTCGATGAACTGCACGTAAGCGCCTCAGCCAAACGTAGTAATATCCGATGGTATCAGGGGGACGACTATTGCCTCTTCCATGAAAAAATCAATACAGAGTCATTGTGCTGTCAGTTGGGTAAACCCCTAAACTTAATCACAGCTTTAGCACACAGACATGGCTTTTATATGCTGCTTACAGTGTGGTGTCATTCACAATCTGCTTATCGTCTGGCATGTTGACAGGAACAGCCGCTACCGATTCATTGTTGCACTGAGCCGTTTCCAGAAGACAATGCACAGCCAAAAGATAGTCCCCACAAAGTCACCAATTTGGTCTACACACGTTTGAAAATACGAGCTGGCTGATGTTTAGCGTTGGCTGACTTTAGCAGCCTGCACTCTCTCGGAGTAGGTTGTCTCGTGTTTGAACAGAAGAATCGTTTGTGTAACTTCACCGTTTGCCGGTCGCTCCATTGTCCGCCGGACAAGTCGGACTATCACCGATACCTGGCCGGGTCGCACGGGCACCAGAGGAAGGAAGCCGGCGAGAACTCGCTAGTACTTACAGGCCACCGAGCGACATTGCGACGACCGACCTTGCTGCGCGACGCACCCGATCGTCTCGGCCTCGCGCTTAACTTCAGCGTGTTCTACTACGAGATCCTGAACTCGCCGGACCGGCGTGTCGACTCGCGAAGGCCCTGCGGTTTGACGACGCGATTGCCGAGCTGGATACGCTGAACGAGGAGAGCTACAAGGATTCCACACTCATCATGCCAGCCTACTGAGGGACAACCTGACGTTGTGGACGTCCGACATCAGGGAGAAGGTGAGCACGGAAGAGGGTGGTGAGTTGGGGTGGGAGAGAGAGAAGTGAGCATGGAAGAGAGAGTGGTGAGTGGGTGTGGGGAGGGTTTATTGAGACGTGGAAGGGGAGGGGTGGAGGGTTGTGGTGGTATGCTGGTTAGGTCGCTTGTGTGACTATGTTCATATAGTAGAATGTCAGTTGGTGTTGCTGCTTGTTCAGGTCAGAATTATTGAGATAGACATATTTGAATAAGGTTGGGTTATCACTGCGAGTTGTCGTCCCACTGGTTAGTTGCCTTGCTGGGAAGCGATAGGAGTTGCCCTCTTGGTAACATCGATAGTGGTATGGTATTAGCAGTACGCGAGGGTGTGGTCTAGTGGTACATAGACATATATATACTAGTAGCCAGTAGGTATAGGCGGGTCTTGGTAGGATGTTGGCAGCCAGTATAGAGTGGGTCTTATTTATACGAGCAGTAGTAGCATTATGATAGAAAGGGTTGATGTTTTCTTGTTAGGAAATATTTGTTAGTATTGTGGGCGAACAATACTAGGCTGTGGGTGGGGATGTGTTGTTATCCTTGCTGGATTAACCAATGCGTTTTATGTCGTAAATGTATTTACTGTTCTTGAGGCTTCAGCCACTATGAAGATCCAAACTTACACCGTTTCTGTTATCTGGAAAGTCTTATCAGTTATTAGTAGACGACGATGTAGTGATGATGGTTTGCTGATAATCGTGCACGTGCGTTTACGTGTTCAGCGAGGGCGAGGGAAAAGATGCAGACGCGCAAGTACAGGACGTAAGCAGGAAGCCGCTCGTAATGCTCCCCCCCCCTGCGATGCTTCTCATTCTCTTCATTCTGCCATGCAACCTGTTTCTGCAGTATTCGTGCGTCGTCGGTACATACGGAGACTAGGAGTGCACACACAGACAGACGCAGCAATGCAAAAACCACGCATCATCGAGCAAAAAGCAGTACTTAACAGACTGTTAGAGTCAGCGAGTGCAGAGCCGGGGTGACAGGCTAGTGTAATTTCTAGCACTACCCCCTCCCTTCTGTCCATCTATTGTTTGCTTATTGTAAAATTACGTGTCCTCGTCCCAGTCGTATTCATGGCTTGGTCCGTGTAAAATTAGTCGCATTAACGTGAGTTCTCTGTGACCGCTTCCATTTAAATCCATTGCCTTTTAATCCATTCCACCTCTCGACATGTGAAAGTGTTGGAATTTCTCTGTACTCGCTTACGATTCGCCTACATGTGCCTCGATGTAAACGAGCACACTGTCTTTCATATCTGATGACAGTCGTCTCGTGGCGACGTGATAACAGCAGGAAGTGTGCGTGCACACTCGATCCATCGTGTGAATCCCACCGAAGCGCTCCCTGCTTTCCTACTCGACTGTGGAGCAATATTGGCAGAAGTTAGTTGCTGTGTAGGTCCAATTCTAGTCGAGTCTTCTTGAACGATTGCTCCATCATTCACACTGGCCTTGAAAAGGATAATTCCTACTTGTCGGGAGGCTGGGCGTGAGTAACTGAAAGATGGTAACTTCAAGTTACACTGAACCTGATGCCGCTGTCTATCTGTTTGTTTTGTCCTGTATCCCCCTCGAGAGAAACAGCTGCTATGGTTAGGTGAAAGTCATTGGTGATCATAATATAAACTTGTCAAGATTGTACAAATCTGACTTAATAATAATTTGCGTGCTGTGTGTAATTACTTATTCCAACATGCGTCGCTTCTTGTAGCTCTATTGGAAATCTAGTGGCATACATGTAGCTTCTCACATTGGATGTTTAATATATTTTAATGCTGTGTAACAATGCTCACGGTTATTCGTGTGTAGAAATGTGTGTGGATAGAGTGCTATCGGTTTTTATGTGAAATTTGATATCTCTTGCTCGATGTATCACTCAAGCATATCTGCCCTGCTCTCGGATTCACTCACGATATCTGTGCTGCAGTCAGATATCAGTAGTGTTATTTATTCGGCAGTGAGATATGAATCGCAAGTGTGCTGTGAGTAATGCTGGATCCATTGCAACCGTGCCAACCATGCCAGCCTAACTGTGAAATGACATTTTGTGCATGTTCCCTTAGTAACAAGTTTTATTCCATTCCAATGCTGCACGTCGTCGACTTCGACAGAGTGAGCGTTACACTGCGGATCGGCTGGCAGCAGCTGGCATGCCCCAGCACGTTTTATCTGCCCTGGTTGTTATTGGTGCTACGACTGCTCCCGACCATATGCAAGAGCTCAGCGCTCTCCCGACCCCACGCCGACCGCCGCTACAACGTGCAGCAACGAACGTGGCGATGGGCAAGCGGTTACAGCCTCTGCTATCTGTTCATGCCTCTTCAGCGCCACCAGGCAAGTCGACGCAGCGCGCCTATGCAGTTCAGCTTCGCACGCCGAAAGTAGTCTCCCTTGCCTCTCGGTCGCGAAGTTTCTGTTGGTACGGTGCAACTGTATGCTCTTCATCTCCTCGGTGTAGTGTGCACTGTATACTAGTTGATACTGCGCACGCTTGGTAGTTAACCAGAGAGACTTGTTTTACCTGAATGTCTTTACCCACAAATGCCAGTACCTACAAGTCGGTACACACAAATGCTATCCCCTACATGTCTGTTCCACAAATCCCAATACCTAGAAGTCTGCATTAACAAATGCTATCCCCTACATGTCTGTTCCCACAAATCCCAATACCTAGAAAGTCTGCATTAACAAATGCTATCCCTACATGTCTGTTACACGAATCCCATACCTAGAAGTCTGCATTAACAAATGCTATCCCTACATGTCTGTTCCCACGCTAGGTTGTCCGGCACAAATTCTGGTTGTCTCGGACAACCGGACAACGCTTATTTCGAGCACTGTATACTAGCGTGAACAATATAAAATTTAACTCCACTACTGCACTAGTAAGTTGTGGCATGCGAACAATTAATTAATGATGTTCCAACGTTCTTTGAAGCTTCCACGTTGGGCTAGTTCTGGGATTGTCAAAGCATACCGACCGACTCAGTAACTTTACGATTAACGTAGCTCTAGTAACTATAGCCCACGTGAAGTTGCCGCAGGGCTATAGGATATTCTATTACGAATGCTCGGGACCAACTTGGTAACGCCTAACGGTTACTTGCGGCTATAAAATGTCTGTGATAGGCAATTAATGGGAATAATGCCTCGTATCCAAAGTGAATATGTCTTAAGTTATATCCGCAACTAAAATTTAACGCTGTGGCTATATGCCCGGCAGCCGGGCACGGTAGCTGAGAGGGTCTATCTCCCCCAGGGTACTGCCGGAACGTACCCTGGGCTTGGGTATGGTCGGGTATCCCGGAACGTACGCTGGGGCCCTATCTAATATGCCGGACCGTAGCTCGCCTACTCCACTAACGAGTCTAGGGAGTCGCCTACGCCTACTCCCTAACCATATCAGATAGTTACCAGGGTACGTTCCGGCAGTAACCTGGGGGACATTGACCCTATGAGCGCAACTGCACGCGGGCTCTAGTCTATAGATAGGGCCCTAGAGCTACGATTAACGTGTTGTACCGTTACGTTAGTTCTTACCGGAATACGACCCCAGCGCACATAACATCCTCACAGCAACTGCTAAAGAAACACAGATCACGACCACACTGCTATCCATTGTCTCGAAAATAAACAGAATCTTTTTTAAACTTCAACGGACAGGGACTCTTAACTTAAAACAACTAAAAGAAGTATTACTGCAAGGACTGCCAGTCAAAATGCCGCGTGGGCGCAGCCATATATTCTAAATCATGACAAAAGACCAACATGGCCAGTCAAACACAACTGTGTATATTTTTTTTTAATCAGTAACAATATTAACTTCCGATTAGTATGAAAAAAGTAGCATACTCATCTACTACAACAAAGATAAAATTTACATAATTTTAGGAAGCGTTATGCTGCTTCTACACATGTTGCGTCATTTATACTATCACCAACGTTTCACGATGCAATATAAAATATTTATGCAGACTTTTTAAATTTCTCTTAACGCTATTTTCAATTGGATTGTGATCGAACTGTTTAGTGCTCGTCATCACTTCGCACTCCGATAACAAGCATAGCATTAGCGCGTGTACGCCACATTTGTTTTGCATTTTTTGTGCGATGTCTGAAAACAAAGGAGAAACATTGTATGGCAAATAAAGAGCGGATGTATTCGTTGCTTGATCACTGCCACAGATATGACATTTGAAATCTACATATAACGTTAGATGTAACTTACAAAACGTGGATTGAAAATGTAAAAATGCTATTGTTACTGGATCGTGTCACGCGATATCAACACAATACACAAAACACGACGGTCAAGTTACACTGAATATTTAATATAGTTCCCTGAATAATTGATCAGAGTTAGAATTTTCGTACAGTACATGCAAGATAACAGAATCCGAGTAAGGGAAGGCAAGCAGCCAGCATTAGAAATACCAACTTCTGCTTACATGTTCTCACACACCGGCACGCGCGACCAGCTTTGACCAGCCTCTGCATGCGCGGACAGCCTTGATCAGCCTCTGCACGCGCGGACAGCCTTGACCAGCCTCTGCACGCGCGACCAGCCTTGACCAGCCTCTGCACGTGCGAACTAAGCCTTGAGCCGAGCTTTGACGCAAAGCCCTGACGCCAAGGCCTCTGCACGCGGCGAACAGGCCTTGCCAGCCTCGTGCACGCGCGACCAGGCCTTGAAGCAGCCTCTGTACGTGCGAACAGCGCCTTGGACGCGAGCTCTGCAGGCGCGGACAGCCTTGACACGACCTCAGCCCGCATCACGAACCTCTGGGCACGCGGACAGCCGACGCTCGAGCCGCACACATGACAGGGCCTCTGCACGCGCGACACCTGTGACCAGCCTCTGCACGCGGCGACCAGCATCTGACCAGCCTCTGCAACGCGCGCCAACCTTGACAGCCTCTGGCACGCGCGCCAGCCCTTGACCAGCCTCTGCACCGCGCGGCCAAGCCTCGACGCCTCTGCACGCGCGATCCGAGCCTTGACCGCAGCCTCTGCACGGCGCGACCAGCCTTGACCAGCCTCTGCACGCACGACCAGCCTTGAGCAGCCCTCTGCATGCGCGACTCGCACGGCTACCATCAATTTTCACACCATCAAGCCACGCACCACTGACACTCACGCCTCGATCTTTTCTCGCAGGCTTGAACACAAGTGAGGTTTTTACTACTACGAAACCATTAATTATAAGAAGTCTACAGTGAACATCAAAGATTTCAGTGACAACAAACTTCTTTGAAATGCGCCTCGTTTAAACGTCTCCACGCAGATTCCGTCCGTTCGGGTTGCCATGCCAACCATCGCGCTCTCCTCCCGAGGTGAGACAAGATGAGGCAAGGAAGCAGGGCAGCGATGAGACAGACACTAAGGCGACATGAGGACTGTAAACAATGATGCAGCGCAGTAAGCGGTTGTGGTACTCACGGCCGGCGACGCAAAACACTGACACCACTCAAATTTTCGAAAAAACCATACTGCGACGCCACCAATGTAGTACAACAACACAATCAACACACTGCTATTTGTAGTGGGGAAAAATTAAATAACGTAAGTCGACAGCGTAAACACACAGAACCGTGAATAACTTTGGGAGAGGGAAGTTGGCCTGCAATGGACATGCGCCTGTTGTGGCGTTGGCGTCATCAACGCGCACACCTCCCAGCAATAGAAATTCCTGTCAGCAACCGTAACCACGCAGACTCAGCTCCTATCACATTTACTAACTCCTCCGCGGCTAAGCACAAGCATAGGTACATGTATTGGTATTTGAGCGACTCAAATGTACGGATATGTGATCTCGGCAAGAGGCTCCATAGCAGGCACGTAGGCTCGCAATTACAGACGTCTATATACTGGTATTTCTGAAAGTAGAACTAACAAGAACAGCGCTTATGGATAACAGGCTTGTAGGTACGTGGGATTTGTGGGAACAGATATGTAGGAGATAGCATTTGTTAATGCAGGCCTTCTAGGTACTGGGATTCGTGGGAACAGACATGTGAGGGGATAGCATTTGTTAAATGCAGACTTCTAGTACTGGGATTCGTGGGAAACCAGGACATGTAGGGGATATGCATTTGTTAATGCAGACTTCTAGGTATTGGGATTCGTGGTAACAGACATGTGAGGGGATCAGCATTTTGTTAATGCAGGCCTTCTAGGTACTGGGATTCGTGGGAACAGACATGTAGGGATAGCATTTGTTAATGCAGACTTCTGGTACTGGGGATTCGTGGGAACAGACATTTTAGGGGATCAATAGCATTTGTTAATGCATGACTTCTAGGTATTGGATTCGTGTAACAGACATGTAGGGATAGCACATTTGTTAATGCAGACTTCTAGGTATTGGGATTCGTGGGAACAGACATGTAGGGGATAGCATTTGTTAATGCAGACTTCTAGGTATTGGGATTTGTGGGAACAGACATGTAGGGGATAGCATTTGTGTGTACAGACTTGTAGGTACTGGCATTTGTGGGTAAAGACATTCAGGTAAAACAAGTCTCTCTGGTCTAACTACCAAGCGGTGCCAGTATCAACTAGTATACAGTGCACACTACACCGAGGAGATGAAGAGCCATACAGTTGCACCGTACCAACAGAAACTTCGCGACCGAGAGGCAAGGGAGACTACTTTCGGCGTGCGAAGCTGCAACTGCATAGGGCGCTGCGTCGACTTGCCCTGGTGGACCGCTGACAGGGCATGAACACATAGCAGAGGCTGTAACCGCTTGCCCATCCCCACGTTCGTTGCTGCACGTCTGTAGCGGCGGTCGGCCGTGGGGTCGGGAGAGCGCCGAGTTCTTGGCATATAGGTCGGGAGCAGTCGTAGCACCAGTAACAACCAGGGCAGATAAAACGTGCTGGGGCATGCCAGCTGCTGCCAGCCGATCCGCAGTGTAACGCTCACTCTGTCGAAGTCGACGACGTGCAGCATTGGAAATGGAATAAAACTTGTTACTAAGGGAACATGCACAAAATGTCATTTCACAGTTAGGCTGGAATGGTTGGCAACCGGTTGCAATGGATGCAGCATTACTCACAGCAACACTTGCGATTCATATCTCACTGCCGAATAAATAACACTACTGATATCTGACTGCAGCACAGATATCGTGAGTGATATCCGAGAGCAGGGCAGATATCTTGAGTGATACATTCGAGCAAGAGATATCAAATTTCACATAAAACCGATAGCACTCTATCCACACACATTTCTACACACGAATAACCGTGGAGCATTGTTACACAGCATTAAAATATATAAACATACAATGTGAGAAGCTACATGTATGCACTAGATTTCCAATAGAGCTACAAGAAGCGACGCATGTTGGAAATAAGTAATTACACAGCCACGCCAATTATTATTAAAGTCAGATTTGTACAATCTTGACAAGTTTTATATTATGATCACCAATGACTTTCACCTAACCATAGCAGCTGTTTCTCTCGAGGGGGATACAGGGACAAAACAAACAGATGAGACAGCGGCATCAGGTTCAGTGTAAACTTGAAGTTACCATCTTTCAGTTACTCACGCCCCAGCCTCCTCGACAAAGTAGGAATTATCCTTTTCAAGGCCAGTGTGAATGATGGGAGCAATCGTTCAAGAAGACTCGACTAGAATTGGACCTACACAGCAACTAACTTCTGCCAATATTGCTCCACAGTCGAGTAGGAAAAGCAGGGAGCGCTTCGGTGGGATTCAACGATGGATCGAGTGTGCACGCACGCTTCCTGCTGTTATCACGTCGCCACGACGACCGACTGTCATCAGATATGAAAGACAGTGTGCTCGTTTACATCGAGGCACATGTGAGCGAATCGTAAGCGAGTACAGAGAAATTCCAACACATTTCACATGTCGAGAGGTGGAATGGATTAAAAGGCAATGGATTTAAATGGAAGCGGTCACAGAAAACTCACGTTAATGCGACTAATTTTACACGGACCAAGCCATGAATACGACTGGGACGAGGACACGTAATTTTACAATAAGCAAACAATAGATGGACAGAAGGGAGGGGGTAGTGCTAGAAATTACACTAGCCTGTCACCCCCCGGCTCTGCACTCGCTGACTCTACAGTCTGTTAAGTACTGCTTTTTGCTCGATGATGCGTGGTTTTTGCATTGCTGCTGTCTGTGTGTGCACTCCCTAGTCTCCGTATGTACCGACGACGCACGAATACTGTCAGAAACAGGTGCCATGGCAGATGAAGAGAATGAGAAGCATCGCAGAGGGGGGGGAGACATTACGACGCGGCTTCCTGCTCTACGTCCTGTACTTGCGCGTCTGCATCTTTTCCCTCGCCCTCGCCTGAAACACGTAAACGCGCGTGCGCGATTATCAGCAAACATTCATCACTACATCGTCGTCTACTGATAACTGATAAGACTTTCCAGATAACAGAAACGGTGTAAGTTGGATCTTCATAGTGCTGAAGCCTCCAAGAACAAGTAAATACATTTACACATCAAACGCATTGGTTAATCCCAGCAAGGATAACAACACATCCCCACCCACAGCCTAGTATTGTTCCCCCACAATACTACAAATATTTTTCCTACCAAGAAAACATCCAACCCTTTCTATCATAATGCTACTACTGCTCGTATAAATAAGACCCCACCTATACTGACTGCCAACATCCTACCAAGACCCCGCCTATACCTACTGGCTACTAGTATTATATTGTCTCATGTACCACTAGACCACACCCATGCCTACTGCTAATACCATACCACTATCGATGTTACCAAGAGGGCAACTCCTATCGCTTCCAGCAAGCAACTAAACCAGTGGGACGACAACTCGCAGTGATAACCCCAACCCTTATTCAAATATGTCTATCTCAATAATTCTGACCTGAACAAGCAGCAATCACCAAACTGACATTCTACTAATATGACACGATAGTCACACAAGCAACTAACCAGCATACCACCACAACCCTCCACCCCTCCCTTCCACGCTCATAAACCCTCCCCCACACCCACTCACCACTCCTCTCTTCCATGCTCACCTTCTCTCTCTCCCACCCCAACTCACCACCCCTCCCTTCCGTGCTCACCTTCTCCCTGCATGTCGGACGTCCACAACGTCAGGTTGTCCCTCAGTAGCTGCATGATGAGTGTGGAATCCTTGTAGCTCTCCTCGTTCAGCGTATCCAGCTCGGCAATCGCGTCGTCGAACGCAGCCTTCGCGAGTCGACACGCCCGGTCCGGCGAGTTCAGGATCTCGTAGTAGAACACGCTGAAGTTAAGCGCGAGGCCAAGACGGATCGGGTGCGTCGGCGCAAGGTCCGTCGTCGCAATGTCGCTCGCCGCCTTGTAAGCTACTAGCGAGTTCTCGGCCGCTTCTTTCCTCTGGTCGCCCGTGGCGAACTCCGCCAGGTATCGGTGATAGTCGCCTTTCCTGCGGACAATGGAGCGACGGCAAACGGTGAAGTATACCAAACGATCTTCTGTTCAAACACGAGACAACCGTACATCCGAGAGATGCAGCTGCTAAGTCAGCCACGCTACACCAGCCAGCTCGTATTTTCAAACGTGTGTAGACCAAATTGGTGACTTTGTGGGGACTACTTTGCTGTGCATTGTCTTTGGAACGCTCTATCGCAACAATAAATCGCTAGCGCTGTCTGTCAATCATGCCAGACGGATAAGGAGATTGTTGAATGACACCACATGTGAACAGCTATAAGCCATGTCTGTGTGACTAGCTGTAATGTATTTAGGGGTTTACCCAACTGACACACAATGACTCTGTATTGATTTTTTCATGGAAGAGGCAAATAGTCTCCCCCTGATACACATCGGAATTACTACGTTTGCTGAGCTTACGTGCAGTTCATCGAAATCTAATCATGCAGCGAGTCATTTCATTCATGCAGCTAATCATCAGACCGAGTCATTTCATTTGCATTTTAAAATCAATGTGTAGTACATAATTTAAGAATTATAAATACATTTACAGCGAGAGACATGGCATTGAGATTGGGTAATGAGCTTCAACGACAAATGAATACATTTCATTTAATATAAAGCTCACTCCACAGGGGATGTCATTCACAAATCGCACGCTATGTCCCTTTCTTATTGCTATATACGTCAGCACATGCTGAACAGATTTTATGTGTCTGCCAATCTGCTTCCATTATATTTGGAAGGGGAGGAGTTCTGTACCCCTTACATTCACGGACCACAAGCTTAGAGGAAAAATACCAAAGGAAATTACCTTCATCACACTTTATCCAATGTACAGTGCTAACAAGCCTAAGGCCAAATTCGGTAATGCAGCTTTTTGAGCAAGCAACTATAAGCATGTAGTGGTCGTGCGCACAAGTCAATGGCAGATAATATTGATTTCTTAGTTAAACTACCATTAAATTGACACGCTAGAACTAAAAAAGCCAAGTGTCATCTTGTCATACGCATAGAGGGTCACGGGTAAATGTTATTAACAGATAAACATGAAACTGATGTGGCGAAAATTTTATTTCGATTATTTTACAAATCATAGTTAAGTTGAAACATGACATTAACTGAAATATGCATCATACACTATTAGTAAGGTTTAGCATAATTATTATGGCACCATCTTATGGTAAATTAAACTCACTACAGTCAATGCTAGTCCACACAAGAACAATTTTGATGTACCGAAAAACAACAAACCTCTGTTTCATATTGTTATAATATTCAAAAAAGGGACTGGTCATTTTCCAATTTTCTTTAGACATATATGCTTATGAGTCATCCTCTACACACGACTCATTATCCGTCACACAGATATGGAACTGTTAGATCCGAACTTACTTAAATTGACTACGTCATGAATTTTCTATGGTAAAAGTTGTAAAATTTTTGTTGCCATTTTTTTACATTAAAAGAAAGAACTAACAGGACTAAACGTGTCGTCAAATTCTTACCTAATAAGATTGTTTCTCAACTAGTTAAAAATCCAAAAAACCTGGACGATTTGATATTATGATCCTGACATTAATTGCTTGCTATAGGCTGTGTATCAGTATGAGTCACGAGTGTGTGTTTACACCAAACAATATAGTAAAATAGGAAGTATAATGCAGCAATTTAACCATAAAAAGTGAACAGAATTACTTACACTTTGTGAAAAAGTAAAATTTATGTTTTTATTGTTATTATTTACGGTGACGTAATCACTTTATGACAGTAATACACATATATCAGTGAAACTGAAAGTGCACATACTATTGTGTTGATGCCTAGGTTCCCCGCAGGGAAAGTGGATGACTCATATAAGAAACTAAACGTTTACTGACATTCCAGACTCTATAAGAATGTTTCAATTTGCCTAATAATGGCCCTGTTAGCAGCTGCACTTTATGACTGTACTTACATTTTGTAATAGAACACTTTTGATTCTCCTGTTGTGGCATGTGGTATTAGATGGTCAGTAAGAACATTTAGGATATCTCCACAGATGTCACGTAACTCCTTCTCAACCTGTTTAACAAAACCGACATTTTTCTTAGCGGCAATACTCTTTTATTCTTTATATACTAATATGGTAGTTTACTACACGACACTCCATGATAAAGTTACTTTTCGACAGCAGGCACCACTTATATTGATTTTTGTTCACCAATAATATTGAGATGTCAGATAGTAGGAAGACAGTTTGCACACAGTTTCAAAATGCGTAAAGGGTGTGGTATGAGAATAAGAAAGGATGAAGTATTTAAGGCGTGACTGAACCATGCATATTTTTCCAACCTTTATGGCACGTACACTATGTTCCAAGAAAACATGATTAGGCCACAATTAAAAAAATCTTTGTTTGACCTCACCCGCCCCAGGCTGAAAAGTTTGGGTAGGTAGGTAGGCTTTTTTTTTAGGGGGGTCTTTTTACATATTCCGCTGTCTACATGCTCGGGTGTGCTTGTGTGGGGAGATACCTTTTATGTTGAATGTTTGTTTTGCTTGGTACATATAATGTATTGCCTACAGATTTATATAATGTACAGTGATACAATTTGTAAAAAAAAAAGAATGGGAAAGGTATAATAAAATATTTTGAGTTGGCCCCTTTTTGGCGGGGCGGTCAGGCGAGGGCAAATAAACAATATTTTTATTATGGCCTTAGATATGTAGTACTAATGTACGGTAAGCAGAAAAGTAAGCAAATTAGAATATAGCTTTCCATGAGCACATTGTCCACATTAACACCTTTGATAAAGTATTAAGATAAGTGTTGTACATAAAACACTGCAGCAAAACGACTTACGTGTCGTTGCCGAGTGATTACCTAGTAAATTATGGTCACGGATATCTCTAACCAACAATAACATGCACTGTCCACGTAGAAACTAGTAACTACTGTATGATAATGCTATTCAGGAATGCAACGTGTTCACACACACACACACTACGCGCACACGCACACATCACATACACACACAGTAACTGGGATAATCAGTACCTGCTCCCTGTAGGTACGAATCATGCTCAGCTTTTGTCCTTCGCCCTTGTTTTCTTCTTTCTGCTCAATGCTGCTGATTATCCGCCACGACGCCCGCCGCGCACCAATCACATTTTTGTAAGCGACGGAGAGCAGATTGCGTTCTTCAACAGTGAGCTCTACATCAGCAGACGCCACCTTCTTCATTGACTCCACCATTTCTACAATCAATTATTAAAACTTGTTTAGAATTAGACGTGAACTTATTTAGTGGCCTATAAGTGTCATGAAACATTTGGTTTCTGACTTTGTATTCTGATTTTGTTAATAAATTTGTGTGACATGGTGCTTTGTGGATAAAATAATTTAGAATTGATGATATAATCACACAATGTTGAGTATAAAGTACACGATTTGTCGACTTATGACAAAATTAATTCCCTACGGACAGGACAGGGCTTTAATTGTAGAGTGAAATAGTAGTGAGATACAAATGCATTAATTAGTATTTTAAACAATACCAGAGGATGTGATGTCTGTTGTTTGTGGCAAGAAAGGATGGCTGAAATCTCCCTTCAATTTATGCATAGGCGTGGAGTTATTCCGTAAATACCAAGTTATCACATTTTTATCCTACAGTTTTACAGCATTACACATAATACAGCCTGTTTGAAATGCAGTGTAGATGGAGTGTGGAGGTGGCATAGTTTATTAGATAGGTCGTGTGCATAGTGTAACACACTACCACAGACAAATGTATAATATGACAATTTAGGACTCCAATGATCAGCGAGGTGGTAACCAAATATGATCAATGCAATTTTCACACAAGGTGAATTTCGTGAATCGAAAACATCTTTATCACGGCAGAATAACATTCCAGCGCAATGTGTTTGAAGTTGCAGTAAATGAGAAAGCTCAGTATTATGTTATAGCATTTCCTATATCACTCATGTGAAATTTTACATGTGATTGTGTAACACTACTCACTGTACAGTGTACATGTACAGGAATATGGGCTTGGCTGCAAATGTGTGGCTACTACCTCCAAAAGAACAATATATTTCAGACAAGTAAGATTGCATACCATCATATCTCTCTGCCTGCTCAGCCAGCTTGGCCTTGTAGACGTTGTCGTCACGTTCTGTCATCTTGATGTTTCTTTAGCTATGTAGAATTTTGTGGATGAAAACAAAGATGGAATTTTTCCTTGAAACGCCGTTCTCGAAAACTAAGATGGCTGCATACGATCGGGAGTTTCCGGAAACGCTCACGGAAACACCCGATTATCCTATTTGCTGGCGGGAAAGTCGCGTCCTTCATATGTGTACGCAACGTGTTCTTATAATTTTCCATTATAAATCTCGTTACCGCGATATTACCGTGAATAGACTTTTGAATTTAAAACTAACATACGAGTTATATGAAAGATATGAAATGATTATAACCCGCATGTCGGGCAGAATAGCCGACAATTTCAATTTTTTTTTAACTTTCCAATGATGATCAGCTAGGTGTAAGAAGAAGCAAATAAAATATTTTTATGCGTAACGCATAGTCGGTTGCTAGTCGTGGGAAAATTTAACTGTCAGAAACAGACGCATTTTATGTTGAGGTTATGTTATGTCAACGTTTTCCCAAAATGTATAGACGGATAAGGATGATATCAGGGGTTAATAATGACAAATTGGTCATTAACCCCTGATGATATCAATATTACCATCGACTCTATGGTATGACGTGTGTATAAGTCGTAGAATAATATTATTTAATTCGACAAAGATATACGTAGATACGTAAAAGTATAAGAACTATGATAAAAAATAATGTGCTGTAAAACTGTACAACAAACTGTGCTGTAAAACAAAAATGACGCAGTGACTCACTGATCTCTATAATATAATCGCTCTATAAGTATAAGCTCTATAATATAATCTCTATAATCTCTATGATATAAGCTCTATAATATAATCACTGATTATATTATAGAGATCAGTACAGTGACTCCGAAAGTAAAATAATAATAAGAAAATAGATGGCGCTATGTGTGTAAGCGCTATGGTTTTTTCCCGCCAAATTCGTCAGTGAGGCATACTCAGGCAGTAGGCTATCATTGCAGTGTTGTAGCATCCTTTCTCTGTGTTGACATCGACTAAACTATTTACCAATAGTGGCAATACCATCATACAAGATGTGGATACAAGTTAGGACGTTCGATGGAAAACAGTCAATGCGGGTCGATGGACTTTCAAAGCTAACAAAGATCGAAGATCTGCGGGGAAAACTTGCGAACATTTTTAATGCTGAGCCAGAAAGGCAGAGACTCTTTTACCGTGGAAAGCAGGTACTTTAATGTTAATAATAATAATATTGCATATGCATGGCTCTGCAGCATAACGTTGTGCCCTTAATAATTGGTTGGGTATTGATCGCTAATAGCAGTGTTATATGTTAATAATGATAATGATAGGGTCTGTAGATTGAATGGATATATCGGATCAAATCAATCAATCAATCAGTGAAAGATTTGAAGGCAGTAACGCTGAAGCCTGAAGGGGTCGTTGTCGTATCAGGTACTACCGATATGTACCCGAGGTACATATATATGTATACACAAAGTGTACCAGACTTGTACTACAGAAGTGTACCCTAACCCTAACCCTAACCCTAAACATATACCTCATGTAAAAATATAATTTATAAACAATAGTATTAATACTAAACAACCTAAAACTACCTCGGGTACATATCTGTAGTACCTGATACGACAACGACCCCATCTGCGGCAGTAACAGTAAAGGTCAAGGCACACTGCAGCGACAGCGACCGACGTTGGGTCAAATTTCACCCAGCGCTCGCCACAGTGGCACAAATCATCACATGAACAAACGGCAAAAACTCCTGCTATTGCTGTTAAATAACAGCCTGCAAAAACTCTAGATGTATATAACTATAAGGATAAGATAATAAAGTCAAATATACGAAGCAAATTATCAATATCATGTACCCTATCATGTACTGTATGTGCTTGCCACAGCTTGCACGCTTTGGTTAGACTGGTTTGCGGCCCCATTAATTGTTTGTGACATGCGGCGCAAGTTTAGCGCCGGAGACCAGTCTACGTCTTGGCTAGCATTATGGGTTATTTATGACGTAATCGTAATGTCACAGGCCGATGGAAACGCCTGCGATTGGCTATTTGTAAAGTGTCGCGGGCGACAGTCTCTGGAAAATAGAAACGTTTTTAAATATTTTTGTCGTTGAGGTTGTCGCGTGTGTGTGCAATGGCTCATAGGAAACAATAGTTTCTCATTTTCTGAAAAGTCGTTTGTCGTTACGGTCGGTCGTTGTCGCTGCAGTGTGTCTTGGCCTTAAGGAGGGTATCACTCACTCACTCACCCAGGACCTCTGCTGAGTGTTAAGTTAGGGCTAAGGTTATATTATTATTTCTGGCTCAGTTAACCCAGTAAGGGCGTAGTGATGCTAGTGCCGGTACTGGTAGTTTATGTTGCGGTGGCTGGTGCGCCAGCGTACAGTCTAGACTATATTATATATAGTATAGCCTTGCTCAGTAAACTTTACACTACACTACAGTAAAGTATGCAGTGGTCAGGCCCGTAGTCAGCTTTCTATTGGGGGGGGTTCATTTTTCAATGTTGGCAATTTGCTCGGCAGGGGCGTGTACAGGATTTGTACCAGGGGGGTCTAACCGTAACTCATAGTTGCGAGCACGCGAAGATTTTTAAAATTACACCCCCTCAGATGCGTTTTCTGTGCGAGCAAGGGGGGGTCCGGACTCCTGGACCCCCCCCCTGTACACGCCCCTGCCTCGGGCGCGAAGCGACCAGGCGAGGGAGCCAAGCGACCGAGCGCGGGGGAGGGTGTGGGAGGGGGGTGTTACTGTTCACCCTCCCGCACGATGGAGATTTTGCAATTATTACACTAAATGGAGCGACCTGAGGTGAAATTCTTGCAAATTTTCAAAAAAAAAATTTTTTTGCTTGGGGGAGGGGCTTGGGGGGGGGTTCGTTCGAACCCCCCGAACCCCCCCTGGCTACGGGCCTGCAGTGGTTATATATCATATGCTTGGGGCAGTTTGGTAATAGCAGTAATATTTGATAGTACAACCAGTACAGCATATCTATTCACTACAGATGGTTAGCTTTGAAGGTTTCGTGAAGAATAGCCTTCATAAAAGTTTTATGCGACAATTGTATGTTTTACAGATGGTAAATGGTCATACGCTGTTTGACTATAGTGTTGGATTGAATGAAATAGTTCAGATCATGATCAGACCACCAGATGCTGTGACAAATATCAGTGTGACAGACAAATCGGAGTGTGACGCAGACAACTGCAGCAGCGGTGACGAAAGCGTCAACTCTAATAAGGAGAATGAGGTAAGAGTTTAGGAAGCTATTAATAATACATAATAATATATAGCTGAGGTGATTGCCATGTTATTGCATAGTAATGTAGTCATTTAGTCATTTTTGGTTTACAAGGTGATAGATCGATTCGTATATATGATAGTATGTCTCCACAGGCATATTCCACAGCTAAAAACAAAGATATTTCCTTTTCAACAGTATGTTTAACTGATTGTTAGTGGAATTTGTTATTAATGACCACTGCTTCTGTTTTTGTTTGGATCCAGCCACAGAACAAAACCAAGGAAGTAATACCAACAGAAGAGAGTGAACCAATGCACTGTGATTTAGTTGGGCTATACGAGGTGAGTTTATCTGTTATCTATCTTATCTATAGTTTCTCAACTATCTTTGTTGTCAACTATTAGCCTAGTCTTAGGCTAGGCCGTGCCTACTGCTGTTGGATGTCATACCGCTAGCTTGCAACTAGCTGGTGCTTTACTTGTAACACATCATATAATGCTGTTGAGACATGATGGTTGTTGCACTAGTAACTTAAAACACAACTGGCTGAAACTAGCTTATCGTTCTAAAGTGCGAGTCAGTGCAATCTGCAATATCTGGTACCAATGAAATACTAATCTCAATATGTGATCACAGGTAGAAGATTTGGTAGACGCACGAGACAATGATATGAACGCCTGGTTTGAGGCTACGATTGTGAGAATATCGGCAAAATATGAGGGCGACTGCGCGAACAAAAACCAAAAGGCGAGCCAAAGCACGACGACAAGTCAAATCTCAGGGAATGGCTGCAGCCAAAGCAGTTTGACAGCGCCCAGGCAGCTCATGGAAGCCACAGACACACCCACACCGACCCCATGCAACACGGACACACCTGCACCCACCCCAGGTGACACAGACACGGCCACAGCCACTCCAAGCGAAAAAGGGACACCCACGCCGACCCCAGGCGACGCAGACGCGCCCACACCGACCCCGTGTGATACAGATACTCGTAACCCTGCCACGAATGGCGATTGCCCAGAACAGAACAACAACTTACAAAAAGATGGCCAGTCGGAGGAGCATCCGAGGAAGCAGGGAGAAAATGACGTAGAGGGCGCCGAGGGTCAAGCAATCGACGCGATGAATTCAGAGGTGGCGGATGTTGACAATGTGGAAGTTCCATCGCAGCCCACTGATTCCCTCATTTATCACATCCGATATACTGGGTAGGTGTTCGTGTGTCTTGCATAGCTAATCTCTAGCTGGCAGCTAGTCTACCACATTACAACTCTGTTGTCTATAAACTGTAAGTAATACTATATACTGTGTTCATGTCCTAAAATAGAGGTTCGTGGTTCGCACAAATGTTCGTTATTCATAATCTTCTCTATCGTCAGTGCTTTCAGACATCAGTTCGTATACGATGGTTACGACGTTGGGTGCTTTGCTTGCATTTCGATCAGCTACTCGCGTCGATTCCAGGTACGAAGAGGACGGCGTATCGCAATTGAGATGCTCGGACGTACGACCGCGCGCGCGGAAACTTCTGAAGCTGGACGAGATAAAGCCGGGCATGACGGTGATGGCGAACTTTAACTACGACGAGCGCGACGAACGCGGATACTGGTACGACGTCAGGGTCACGGGTGTGCGCAACACTCGCACGATCAAGCAGCTCTTTGGAACCGTGCACATCGGGTAAGCTACACCTGTTTTCTAATCGCAGGTAAACTACACCTGTCTCCTACTCACAGGTAAGCTACACCTGTCTTCTAATCGCAGGTAAACTACACTTGTCTCCTAATCACAGGTAAGCTACACCTGTCTCTTACTTGCAGGTAAACCACACCTGTCTCTTACTCACAGGTAAGCTACACCTGTCTCCTACTCACAGGTAGTTTAGCTACACCTGTCTCCTAATCACAGGTTAAGCTACACCTGTCTCCTACTCGCAGGGAAGCTACACCTGTCTCCTACTCGCAGGTAAGCTACACCTGTCTCCTACTCGTAGGTAAGCTACACCTGTCTCTTACTCGCAGGTAAGCTACACCTGTCTCTTACTCGCAGGTAAGCTACTCCTGTCTCCTACTCGCAGGTAAGCTACACCTGTCTCCTACTCACAGGTAAGCTACACCTGTCTCCTACTTCCAGGTAAGCTACACCTGTCTTACTCGCAGGTAAGCTACACCTGTCTCTTACTCGCAGGTAAGCTACACCTGTCTCCTACTCACAGGTAAGTTACACCTGTCTCCTAATCACAGGTAAGCTACACTTGTCTCTTACTCACAGGTTAAGCTACACCTGTCTCCTACTCGCAGGTAAGCTACACCTGTCTCTTACTCGCAGGTAAGCTACACCTGTCTCCTACTCGCAGGTAAGCTACAGCTGTCTCTTACTCGCAGGTAATTTAAGCTACACCTGTCTCCTACTCACAGGTAAGCCACACCTGTCTCCTACTCGCAGGTAAGCTACACCTGTCTCCTACTCGCAGGTAAGCTACACCTGTCTCTTACTCGCAGGTAAGCTACACCTGTCTCCTACTCACAGGTAAGCTACACCTGTCCTACTCGCAGGTAAGCTACACCTGTCTCCTAATCACAGGTAAGCTACACCTGTCTCTTACTCGCAGGTAAGCTACACCTGTCTCCTACTCACAGGTAAGCTACACCTGTCTCTTACTCGCAGGTAAGCTACACCTGTCTCCTACTCACAGGTAAGCTACACCTGTCTCTTACTCGCACCACGAAACGCTAAACGGCAACGCGAAAACGCACACGGTAGACTCTCAGCTACTGAGAGAGAAGAGAGAGAGAGCAGAGCAGAGAGAGGATAGAGAGAGAGAGAGAGTAAGAGAGTGACGCAGAGAGCATGAGCACACGAGGAGTAAAGAGAGAGACGAGAGACGAGCACGAGATGAGATGACGCGCCAGCACGACGATATATCAGCCAAGGCACGGCCTCAACGTATTCCTGTTACGCCACGTTACTCGCACAGCTCGGCTTCAGTCGTCTCATCACTCTCCCTTATCTCTCTTCGCTCCTCTCTCCCTCGCTCTCACTCTATCATGCGCGTAACTCTCTCTCCTATCTCTCTCCCTTTCCTGCGTCTCGCCCTCTACTCTCTCGCCATGTCTCGTACATCTCTCCTTCATCAGCACCTGCTTCTCTCCTCTAGCTCCGCTCTCAAGTCGCTCAAGCTAAGTCACTCTCGTCTCTCTACTTCACAGGTAACAGCACCTGTCTCCACTCTCTCCATCACGGTAACAGACTACTCTTGTCTCCTACTCAGCAGGTATGACGCTACACCTGTCCCCTACACTCAACATCATATCTGCCTCACTCACTCTCCACCTTGCTCCTCCTATACTCACAGGTAAGTCTCTCTCCTCTCATCCTACACCTCTCTCGTCGCTTATACTCACAGGTACAAAGCTACACCAGCTGCTCTCTCTCCTACCACTCACTACAGCTACACCTGTCATCCGCTAACTTCTCTCCTCTACAGGCTCAAGCCTAGCATCACTCACGGCCTCTCTTCCCCTTTACTTCCTATCGTAGGTAACGTCTACACCTTGCTCTCTCCCTACTCATACGGTAACCTATCTCACCTGTCTCTTACCTTCGCAGTAAGCTACATCCCTGTCTCTTACTCACTCAGTTAATCTACACCTGTCTCTCCTCACAGAGTAAGCTACACCTGTCTCTTCCTCCGCAGGTAACTACTCCTCGTTCTCCTACCGCGAGGTTATAGCTACACCTGTCCTCTCTCTCGACAGGGTAAGCTAAACCTGTCTCTTATCTGCTCCACTCAGTGTTAAGCGCTACATCTGTCTCCTACTCAACAGGTAAGCTATACGCTGTCTCCCACATCGACAGGTAACTACACCTGTTCTCCTACTCACAGGTAAGTCCTACACCCTGTCTCCTACTTCGCAGGTAAGCTACACGCTCGTCTCCTGCTCACCGGTTAAGCTACACCTGTTCTCCTACTCGCAGGTAATTTAGCTACACCTGTCTCCTACTCGCAGGTAAGCTACACCTGTCTCTTGCTCACAGGTAAGCTACACCTGTCTCTTACTCACATGGAAGCTACACCTGTCTCCTACTCGCAGGTAGGCTACACTTAGCTCCTACTCGCAGGTAATTTAGCTACACCTGTCTCCTACTCGCAGGTAAGCTACACCTGTCTCCTACTCACAGGTAAGCCACACCTGTATTCTACTCACAGGTAAGCTACACCTGTCTCTTACTCACAGGTAGTACGCTCCTGGGTAGCTCAAAGAGAAGCTTGCTCTTTGGTAATGTGGAGAGAAGGTTAGTCTCGGGTGATATGTGGAGAAGCTTGCGCTCTTTCTCGCTTCCTCTCTCCCTCCCTCTCCTTTTCCCCCTCTCTCTCCATCCCCTTTCCCTCTCTCGATCCCCACTCTCAATCTCTCCCTCTGATACATGTATGTTTTCTTTTCCAGATTGGAAAAAACACCGCTAACCGACTGCAAAATAATATTCGTCAATGAAATCTTCAAGGTTGAGCGTCCAGGATTTGTCACTCCCAACTGCTCACCACTCAAGCGTAAGTTGCCTCCTCACCGTAGAATTGAGTACTGTATATGCTGTATATTTCGCGGTGGTTTAACTGTATACGCTGTATATTTCGCGGTGGTTTAATTTTCACGAATGTCGCAAACGCGTCCCCGACCGCGAATATAACAACACGTGAATAATTCATACCGAATACTTCATAATTCACCGACCGCAAAATTAACCACTCGCGAAATTGTCCGTCAAGTCCCGAATTCGCGAAAATATCTGTAGGCAAAAAATATGGCGTATACAGTAAGCCTAAATAGTGTGACTGTACCGTGCTGCCCCCTCTGTGTGAGTGAGTAACAAAATGGTTTGTCTCCCCGACTGTAGGACTTAGTAAGCCTGAATGCTCTCACTGCAACGACAACCCACGTAGGAAGTGTAAGGAGTGCGCGTGCGGTATCTGTGGCGGTAAAAGCGATCCTAACAAGCAGATACTCTGTGACGAATGCGACGCAGCATACCATATCTTCTGCCTGGACCCGCCGCTAGAAGCGATCCCAGACGTCGATGAGTGGTGAGTCGCGCTCATAGATGGCGCCACGTGTGTAACCCCCACCTCGTAGTCGTCATTGATGTACGGCTTGCGATAGTCTGTGATGTTATCTTAGGTACTGTGTATGGTATGTTACGTGATATTTTGGTAGGTACTGCGCACTGTGTAAAGTGTACCACCATGACCACATTCATGTGATATTTTCGTAGGTACTGTGCACTGTGTAGTGGGTATGACATTCATGTGATATTTTCGAAGGTACTGAGCACTATGTAAAGTGTACAACATTCGTGTGATATTTGCATAGGTACTGCCCGCTGTGTAAGAATGACGCCTCAGAAGTCGTGAAGGCGGGTGAGAAATTAAAACACAGCAAGAAGAAGATGAGTATGCCTTCTGCTAAGTCGACTTGCAAGAGAGATTGGGGCAAGGTAAGTTCGGTCACGTATTAGTAGTGTCGTATTATGTCAGTGGGTCGCTGAAATCCTAACATGACATTCCTAGATTTTTGCTGTTTAAATTTACTCTAGGTGTAGTAAGATAGGGAGTTAAAGTGCTGCCATTTCTCATGTGCAAACTGTAATGTGGGCCACTTTTTCAGGTGCATACAGTGCAGTGGCGGATCCAAGGCGGGGGCGCAAGAGGCGTGCGTGCCCCCTATTTTTTGTCCCCCCCCCTATTCGGCACGCGAAGCATGCGCACCGGCGCGATCACAAAATCTGCACCCCCTAAAATGAAATCCTGGCTACGCGGTTGCGCCCTTCCAAAATTCTGGATCCACCGATACGAGAAACCGCGCTTGCTCACTAAGCTTATGTGTGATAACTGATAGTTATGTCTATGTGACTCCCTCTGTAGGGCATGGCATGTGTCGGAAGAACGAAGGAGTGTCGCATTGTCCCACCGAATCACTGGGGTCCAGTTCCTGGAGTAGAAGTCGGAATGATGTGGAAGTTCCGTGTTCAGGTAAGACACGCGATAGCACGGAGCCGGGTCCATGGATGTACGCGACATGTCACAGGATCCTGTGCTTGCGCGACTGTTGCGCCGCAATATACTGTATACGCTGTATATTTTGCGAACGCCTCCCCGACCGCGAAAATAACAACACGCAAATAATTCATATAGAATAATAACGAATAATTCATAATTCACAGACCGCAAAATTAACCACTCGCGAAATTGTTCGTCATGTCTGAATTCGCGAAAATATCTGTACGCGAAAAATATGGCGCATACAGTAGACCAATGTGTGACCGGTTGTCGACCGCGTTCTGACGATCACTTGTTTTAACGTGTAGGCTAGCGAGGTTGGCGTGCACCGTCCTCACGTCGCTGGCATTCACGGACGCGAGACAGAGGGCGCTTACTCCATCGTGCTGTCGGGAGGTTACGAGGATGATGTGGTAAGAATTTTTTGCGCCATTCGTCAATCCGATTCTCGTAGACCCCTTCGTGACATTCCGCTATTGGTTGGCGCTTGTTTATTTACCGCCATCTTCTGTTGAAACGTTCGTCTGCAGGATAGAGTTACGTAGAGTCATCTGTAGGAAGAGTTTACGTGATATAAACAACTCTGTATTTTCTATTGCTGTTAAATTATAGTTAGCGCTAAAGTTTGGCTTCTAGAATGTAAGTCAAGCAGCAGCAGGTGTTTGTTGCACTCGCTATGTGTTGGGACTTGCTAGCAGCGTGTGGTACGCACAGGGACGTTTTGTAATAGCTCCAGCCTCACTGGATGTAATGTCATGTTTTGTGAGTTAATAAAGTTGTATTAAACGTATTCTCTTTATCAGTTATTGTTCTTCTGACAAGACATAACAATAAGAATCTCTCCCATCATTCGTAGATCCGATCCTTGTAGACTCCTTTGTGACATTCCGCTATTGGTTGGCGCTTGTTTATTTACCGCCATCTTGTGTTGAAACGTTCGTCTGCAGGATAGAGGAGATGAGTTTACGTACACTGGTTCGGGAGGTCGTGACCTGTCTGGAAACAAGCGAACGGCAGAACAGTCTAGTGATCAGATGTTGACGAGGATGAATATGTAAGTTTATCACCCAGAAATGCTGTTGACTATGAACTGTATATCTCTCTATATATGTCTATATGTATGTCTATATAGCTATTGCTTGTACGTCTGCTTAGAAGCTTGTAAGTAATAAATCGTTCATCATTCTGTCAGTCGATGAGAGCGTTCATACTATAAGAAATCTTAATTGGAATACGTGCAAAATATACAGTGAGACGATGCCAAGGGAAAAAATTGCGTTTTTTTCACGTAAAAATGAGGGGACGTACGGGAACTATTTTGAGCCTCAAGGGAGCGATTTCGGAGGTTTGAAGAGCGAATCGCTCATCGCTCCCGTGTATTTTTTACCCTGGACGATGCCCATGACTGTCATTGCTGTCGTGGTGAGACCTTCGCTTCATGAACACGTTTGATCATTATGTGGTTTATCGTTACCACGTATGTCGCAGGGCACTGGCAAAGAACTGTAATGCGAAGGTCGACGCTAAGAACGGAGCGAAGGCAACCAACTGGCAGGCTGGCAAACCCGTGCGGGTCGTACGCAACTGCAAGGGTAGAAAACACTCAAAGTACGCACCTACAGAGGGCAACAGATACGATGGGATCTATAAGGTGGGTGGATGGATACAGTGTCATGCATTTCCCGACGTGATATTCCTGATATTAACGGGAGTCCGGAGTCAAATACTCTCCGATTTATTGTCGGACTCCCTGATTTGACATATGCCAGTATGCAGGAGTCGGTGTGACTCTCTGAAAATTCTGCGATACTGACTAGTAAGGCCTCGCGGAATTACCGTATTTTTTCAGCTAATGTCCCAAGAAAATTTGGCAGACGTGCAACTGCATGAATCTTAAAAATAAGCACATGCGTTATTGTTAATATCTTTAATTTTGAACCTCAGACTGCGGACTCCCTCATTTTGCTGCAGACTCCTTCTTTTTGAGGGTATATGTAGTCCAGTCTGTTGGACTCCCGTGTTCAAAAGTTAATTTGTACCCCTGTTACTTACATTAATGTTTAAAGGGAATGTAGTTTAACATAACCTAATGTAACGCAACTTGATGTAATGTAATACAGAGTAATCCAATGGAATGGTATTTTGACATTGTGTGTGCATTCTATGTTGTAGATAGTTGAATATTGGCAGGAGAAGGGTCAGTCTGGGTTCAAGGTGTGGCGCTACTTGCTACGGCGGGACGACCTAACACCAGCTCCCTGGTCGAAGGCCGGTCAGAAACGCGTCAAGGAACTCGGTCTGGAGATGCAGGCAGGTGTTAACGATGTTACCTGTAGCTGTAGGCAGGTGTAAACGATGTTATCTGTAGCGGTGGTTGGGTTCAATTTCTTCAAATTATTCAGTATTCTTGATGACGATGTTACACTGTCATATGTAAATCACAAAGAGATGGGCTTGGGCGTAGGAGTAGTGAGTAGTTACTGCAGATCCCAGGTGGTGTACTTATCTCTGTAATCTGGTGTAAGTATGAGTAAAAACTACTCCTGAAAACCTGCATAAGTCCTACTTTTATCCAAATTTTTCCAGCAAAATCCTACTTTTGTCCTGTTTTTTGTTGTAAATTTTGATCCTACTTTTCTCCTAATCTTTTTTCTGTGTCTGCTTGAAAGCCTGTTATAGAGGTGTGAGCTTAACAGGTGTTTGTGTTACAGTACCCCGAAGGCTACCTGGAAGCCCAGGAGAGCAGTAGGCTGGAGAAGGAGGAGCAGGAAGCCAAGGCGGAGGCGATGGATGCGGAGGAGGCTGAGGGTGCGGAGGATGGATCTGCAAAGAAGGGGAGGAAGAGCAGAAAATCTTCGAGTAAAACTCCTGGCAAGGGAAAACGAAAGCGAGAAGGTGCGTCACTTGCTTCGTGGAGGAGGGCGAGAAATCTATTGTTAATTTATATGTTAAAGTTCTGTTTCTTATATAGAAAAGGTGGATAAGGCAACAGTTGCTAAACTGTACGTGAAAGTTCGTATTGAGACTCGCCTTCCCATCTAGTGGGAAATCCTGTATGGTGTCACGCTGTTAGGCGACAGATATCTGATACAGATGCCACCACTAGTCTGTTGATTATCATTATTACATGCAATAAAGATTTAATAATAATAATAATACGTTTTCCTGGCGTGTGCTGTGATATAATAGTTGTGTGTTGTGAACAGAGTCTCCGGACAAAAGCCCCAAGAAAGCTAAGGTGCCGGCGTACAAGATGGAGTCGGCGTTGCGTAAGCTGATTGCGGAGGATGAGCTCAACAAGAAGCTGTGGGATGAGTGTCTGGTGATGACCAAGCAAGGAAGCCAGGTAGCATCCCTGACTGCTCCACTGCTCTTCTTCCCGGCTCTCCCTTGCCGCTCCACGCCCTCCCTCACCATCTACTGTCCCTTCCTCACCATCTACTGTCCTTCCCCTTGCCACTCCACACCCGTCTGTCCTTTCTCATCACCTATCTGTTGTGTCAGGTTCGTTTGAGTTATATGTCCGGTTTGCTCTCCTTGAGGTTTTACAGCGAACGATTTCCGTGTTATCGCGTGGCAGTGAGGCGCGTATCCCATTCTGATAAAAATAATCCTAAGTAAGACTTCTTCTTTTTTAAATTCAGTGAGTGAATTGTCGCTGTTTTGTAGTGTTAAGCTGTCTAATCATAATGTGTAGCTCGATGTTTGTGTTTGTGCTTTGTGAGTGGTGGTGCCATATCATGCGATACCTACAGTGGCCTGTTTTCGTTTGCAGAAGTTTCTGGCAGTGGTAGAGGAACACGTATGCTGCATCTGCTGTCAGAATATAGCTGTGAAGCCGATCACTACAAAGTGTGCTCACAACATCTGCCAGGTATGCCTACAAAGTGTTCTCATAACAATAATCTGCCAGGTATCCCTACAAAGTGTTCTCATAACATTAACCTGTTAAGTATGCCTACACAGTGCATGTAAGCAGCAGGGGTGGAAATGTTAATAAAACCATCACTTTTCTTCCAGACAAGTGACATTCAAAATCTTCTTTTTCATAGACGTTTTAGGTTTTCTGAGTATGATGAATAGCAAGGTGCATAACAACTGTTTATCGGGCCTGTACTTTCATGCTCTTGTTGAGGGGGAGTGTTGTTATGTTAGATTGAGAGCAAAATACTGAGTGAATAGGTGATTAAAAACCATTGGAATTTTTTGAAAAGCTTGGCCCATGATTCATGTTTCTAGTGGTTGTAAACGGAGATTTGTTTGCTATTATATTATATATTATATTTTGTTTGTTTTCTAGGCTTGCCTTCAGCGATCATTTAAGGCGGAGGTGTACAGCTGTCCAGCTTGTCGCACTGACCTGGGCAAAGACTACAGCATGTCCACAAACAAAACTCTAACACAGATCTTGCGCACAATGTTCCCGGGGTACGAGAACGGACGATGAGCGAATGCCAAGTGATTATAGAGGGCGTTGGTGCTGAAATGGAAAGTTGGTTGAAGTAGATGGTGCTGCTCGATGCAGCACTGGGACGGTTGGCCGTGTTGCACCGGTTTTTGGACGGCACAACGTAATATACATTCTGTAATAGGAGGCTCCACCTATATTTACGCTGAATCTATTGTGGGAAATTGTCCTTTGGTCTTTGACCTGGAAATTTTAAGCAGGATTAGGAGAGATGTAATATTGCATGTATGAAAGTATCTGTGTCTTTATTTCGCATGAGGAGAACGAAAGATGTGGGATTCACTACTATATAGAAATGGGAAAGCATTGTTTTGGTTAGCATGAACATAGTATATAGCATTAAAGTTGTACAGGCTGGTAAGACCACAACATGTGTCCCTCAGTTTAACATGATCAGGTTATGTGTGCGTTTATAGATGAAAACGGGTATATGTAGTGATTGAGAGTACTTATAGCTTATTAGGCATCCTAGCTTATTGCTATAATCAATGGAGTGATGCAGTGTTTAGGAAAGTGTTAAATCTTAGCATACGTAGCTAGAGTAGGCATTTGTTTAACTGAGATGTCTAAGATAATGGCGAAGATTAATGTTGGAACTGCTAACAATCAACTTTATGGATGATATGAGAAAATAATTGAAGTGTATGCAAAGTTGTCATGTGTGCACATTGATGTCAATGTCGAGGATGATTATGACTGTTATGATAGCATCTATAACTGCTGTTTGGTTTAACCATTTTATACCTTAATAGTTTTGCTAGAAGCCTGTGTTAAATTCTAGTTTTGATCTGCAGGAGGCTATCTAACACGTTCACCAATACTTGCATACCTCTTGTGGTTGCAACTACAGCTGTTAGTAGTTTAAGATGCAGCCTAAACCTAAGATCCATTCGTGTACTGTGATGTTTGCCTTAAGGCTTAAGCTATCCTCATTATTCGTCCTGAACTTATGAAATATTATTTAAAAAATAAACTTGATGTTTGCCAGGGAAAACGTGATTTGCATGTCGGTAAAAAAAGTCCAAATCAAATCAGAACTGAAGTTGGTTATAGGTAAAGTTTTTTATTGATAATTTTGTACACATTTTTAATAATAAAATTAGTTTAAATGAACGGTTTGCGTTATTGTATTGGCTTCATTAATTAACCTGACTATAACTCCTATTTATTTTCGTGCTGTGGTGTGTGTGGATGTTACAGTTTGCATATCCGTGCACGAGCTATTTTTGTTTGCACGAGGGTCGTCGTTTGGCAGTGGGGCAGGCATTCGTGCATGTACAAGTGTCCATTACGTGTACAAAGTCTATCTGATAAAACCTGACTGCCAAGTTTAGTACAGTAGCTAGTATAATATATAGTATATATATATATATATATTATTTATGAACCTTGTGATAATGTATCTAATATTACATATGATATTATAGCTAGTTCTGTTATAATGTACAAATCGCTCTGGGCTCAGTTTGGCTCAGTGCTGGTTGTGGTTGGAATTTGACCAAAGTCATTACATTTATGACGTATATGACATATATACGTAGGTGCGTACATATATAAGGTAATCAGTAGAATGTGATAAAGACGGCAAAAGTGCGTGTACGTTAATCGGTGGTTTGTAGTATATTGTAGGTACCGTCGGCATAATCATATAGCAAACACAGGAGTCTCGTGTATAATTTCATACAGTCATAGAGTATAGTCACCATGCAGTGAGTATATATGTGAACAAGTGTGTTTTTACATAATATTTAAGAATATTTCTCGCTTTGATGGCGTTTGTATCCAAATAATTAAGTCTGTAACTAATATGCGTATATAATATGCTGATATGCTATATAAGCCCAAACGCTGAAAGTCTTAATGTAAAGTATAGGACATTGTACTCGTAGGATCAGGAGTGATGCAATGTAAATATTATTTATATACAAATGTAGTACGTGGCCCTAGGGGTAGCCGCTACTCAAATTATGTGCGTTTTGAATGCACGATTATTTTTCGGGATCAGTTCTTGCTCCCAGTGGCAAAGTGGGACTGTGTTGCGTGGCAGCAGGAGACAAACAACGAGACAAATAAACACAACGCAAGTTCTTAAGTATATAATACGGAACCGGTGGTTTTATTTATCGCATACACACCAGTTATGCAGTATTCGTGTCGTATATTGTGGCAGAAGGCCCAGGAAATGTTAGTTATGTGCGAGAATTTAGGTCTACCGAGTGCGCGCGAACCCGACGTCTCTATTGAGGTCGCCCGGAGTGAAAATAAGGGGTAACGGCACCTGTCGTCGGCGTCAGCGTTCTTCTTCCTCCCTTTGTTCTTCTCGCGTCGTTCCTCCTTCTTTCTTCTTCCTTCTCTCTTCTATCTTCTCTCTTCGTGCTTCTCTCTTCTATCCTCTCTCTTCGTCTGTCTGTCGTCTCTCTGTTCTCTCTTCTATCTCCTATCGTCTCTCTTCTTTCTTCTATCTCCTGCCTTCGCTCTCTTTTCTTCTATCTTCTGCCATCTCTCTTCGTTCTTCTTTCCTCTTTCTTCTATCTTCTTTCTTCTGTCGTCGCTCGTCTATCTTCTGTCTTCTCTCTTCTTTCTTCTATCTTCTGCCTTCTCTCTTCTCTCTTCTGCCTTCTCTCTTCGCGCATCTTTCTTCTCTCTTCGTCTGTCTGTTGTCTCTCTCTTCTCTCTTCTATCTCCTGTCTTCTCTCTCTTTTCCTTCCATCTTCTGCCTTCTCTCTTCGTTCTTCTTTCCTCTCTCTTCTATCTTCTCTCTTCTCTCTTCTTTCTTCTATCTCCTGTCTTTGCTCTCTTTTCTTCTTTCTCCTATCTTCTGTCTTCTCTCCTCTCTTCTATCTCCTGTCTTCTCTCTCTTTTCTTCTATCTTCCGCCTTCTCTCTTCGTTCTTCTTTCCTCTCTCTTCTTTCCTCTCTCTTCTTTCTTCTGTCGTCGCTCCTAGTAGTGAGTGATGCTCCTCGTCTTGTAGTGATCGGTGCTCCGAGTCTTGTAGTGATCGGTGCTCCTAGTCTTGTAGAGATCGGTGCTCCGAGTCTTGTAGTGATCGGTGCTCCGAGTCTTTGGTGCTCCTAGGGGCGGTTACCCCCGGCGTTCTGCTTTCTACGGCTTTTCGGCCGCCTTATATACGGCCTGGTTGCCACATGGACGTGTACGATTCCCCCCTTCCCCTAGCAACAAGCAGCGGCCGCCTCCAGCTGCCAATGGCTTCGGTGCAATAATCCCCGTGTGCTCTGCATCGATGATGTCATTTGTTTACATGCTGATCCGCATTTAGACCTGTTGCGTCAGCTGAAACTGGCCGAGTAAATTTTCCATTCGTATTCTATTTTAATTATCTTTTTATTTAAATTCCTCCTTATCTTTTTAATCTGCACTTGACTACTGCTAGACTTTTCCCTTATTTGATTTTGTGTATTGATTTCTTAAGTGGAATTTGTGGGTAACCTGGTTTTCCGATCCAGGTTTTTAGTTATTCAAAAAATGGCCGCGCCCTGTAGTGTGTTGTGGTTTGAAATAGAGTCTTCGGTGTAACCGAAATCTCTACACTCCCCCTCATGTTCTCTAGCATCCGCCCTCGGATGCGGATTACTGGCTGTGTGTCTTCCCTCTACAGATCTATATGCTTGGGTGGCTTCCTGATGCGCCACACCCTTCTTAGATTGGGTTCCTATTTGGCCGAGGGGCCACCTTCCCATGGTTTCCTTCCTCTTCCCTTTTGGTGGTCAGCCTCGTGATCCTCGGGTTTCTCACTATCAGAGGGGTCCCCACTGCCCCATGGCCATGGAGGGTCAAGTGGTTCGGGTATGTTGCCCTTTCCTCCCTGCATGCCGGCAGTGTCGGTGTCCCGCTCGGTTCCTTGGGTTTCTTCGTTACGCTGCGCCCCCTTTGGTGTTCTCCAATCCGTTGGTGCTTTCTCCCAGGGAAAAGAACTTCCTTCAGCCAGACATTGTATGGTGTGGTCGTCTATCATCAGTGCTCCCGTACCCATGTTGAAGGAAGCTCGGTGAGGTATTAGGAAATCGAGTCAGAGTATTCCGTCCAAGCCTCCAAGTGAGATGATTACCATAGTCTTCTTGTCTGTTTCCTCCGATTTCCAGTTGAAGGTCGGCCTCTCCCGTGTTGCGCAGTCGCTCCCCGTTAGCCATTCTTAGGTCACTTCTGCCTGGTCGGTGTAAGGGCCTCTCATGGTTATCTAGCTTGTCGAATCTGGTTTGGTTGAGAAGGGTGGTACTGGATCCACTATCCACATGGAAGTCCATGCGGTATCCTTCCACCTGCACAGCTACTAACCAGCTGGGCTGATCCTGCAGGGGTGCAACAGCTATGGATGGCTTCTCCTCCTTGCTGGTTTGTTGCTCACTGATTGCTTCAGGCTCCGTCACTGTTCGATGAGGCTCTCCCTTATCCTTTTCTGTGGGTACTGTACTTTTGGCTTCACCTCCTTGCCCTGGCTCCTGATGGGTGGGGAACGTGGAACGCGTAGGCCGTGGTATGGTTCCGTTAGTCGAGGCTTCGTGGACTAGGTCACCGACCCTGCCTGGCCCTTTCTAGTTTAACCTTGGGCTGTGATGCACCCTTGGTGGCTGGTCCTGTTGGTGGTGAGGGATTCCTGTCATTCTGTGGGGGTCTCCGGGGACAGACTCTGTGTATGTGCCCTCTCTGTCGGCAATAGTAGCACTCCATATTTGCCATCCAATCTGGTATGCTCTGCGCCCTCGCTGGTGCTTGAAAAGGTGGGTAGTGGACTATCTCTCGAACTTCTGGTCGGTAGCCATTTTGGGGCGGAGGATTTCTGGCTCCAGTCTCCCGCTTCCTCCTCGTGGTATCCTGGGTCAAATCCTGTACTGCTTTCCGCAGCTGGGTTAAGTGGTCAGGACTGCTGTCTCCTTGTGGATTTGCTGCGCGGATGGTACTAACCCGCCCTGGTGGGGGTTTTCGGCTTGGTACAGTCTCCTTGGTTACGGCTTCATATTGAGATACTCTGGTGATAGCTTCGTCGAGAGTGCCTGGTTCCTATAGGAGTGCATAGCGCTGAGTTTCGACATCTCCCAGACCTCCCAAGTACTTGTCGATTAAGATCTCCTCGAACTGGTGCCCCACCATTCCTGGGTAAACTCTGCTGAAAAGTTGCCTCATGGTGGCTCTGTACTCCTCGGGAGTTTCTCCGGCTCGTCTGTTTTGGTGCCGTACTTCACTGCGATGCACACGTATGCATTCCGCTGGATCAAATTGCACTGTAGTGCGGCAACCAGGCAATCGTAGTCCTCTCGCTGTGCCCGAGGAAGTTCAATCATGGCCTCCAGGGCTTCACCGTCAAGGCATAGGCCAAGCTGGACCGCCCAGGTGTGAACTGGTCATTCGTTGAATGCTGCTGTCATCTTAAATTTGATGATGAACCGTTGATGTTTTCCTCTGGAGCTCGTCTTCTCCTTCCTGCTCCGAGGACCATCCTTGCCTTTGTGGTTGTGGCGTTTTCCACGCCCTCCTCTCATCGAGTTGGGTTCGGGGTGTCGGGTGTATAGGGCGAGGCTCGGGGTCGTGGGCCTGAACTGGGCTCTCAATCGGGGAACGTTGATATTCTAGAACCGGCCTGCTCGGTGCCCTCCTAAGTATAGGCAGGGGCGGATTCAGACCGTATTTGCCGTATTGGGAAATACGGTCTAGATTTCAGTGTCCTTCGAAATTTTGCGCTAAAAAATACAGTTCTAAAACAATTTGATGGAATTTGGCTATATTCTTTATTTGTTTTCTTTTTCTTCTTATATTCATTGACAGGACTTGAATGAAATCAAAATTTTACATTGTAACAAAACTAGCTTTGATATCTGAAAAAGAAGGGAAGTGCTTGAATCATTCTGCATTAATTGCTGGTATGCAAATTAAGTGCAGGCAAAATTAAGCAGAAAAAAAATTCCATATGGTTTTTAAAGCTATTGCTGCTTGACCAAATGTGTGCTCAAATGGTGCTCATTTTTGTGCCCAGGTACCCTTGACATTTTGAAATTTCCTGGGGGAGGCCCCCCAGACCCCCTGCCATGTGCTTCCGCGCCTAACGGCGCCCATTGTGGGATGGTGTGCCCTTTTTGGGGGATGTGCCCTTAAAATCTGGAAAAATACTGTAGCTTCAGCCCTGGATCCGCCCCTGATAGGGGATCTGCCCTTTGCCTCACGGCCTAATTCTAACCCTGCCTGCGTAGGCCCTGGAACGCTCGTAGGCCTACAGCATACATGACCCTTGGACGGGGTAAAAAAATCGCGTATTCGGTTCCTTAAACTATCCATCTTACGTGATTGGTTTATTGCCTCAAAGTCTCGTTCTCCTGCCACAGCCGCAATTTTAAAACACAGAGAAGCAAAGAAATAACGGACGAGCCCCAATAATTCTGTGGTGGCCCTAGGTGTAGCCGCTACGCGAATTATGTGGATTTTGAATGCACGATTATTTTTCGGGATCAGTTCTTGCTCCCGGTGGCAAAGCGGGACTGTGTGTGCGTGGCAGCAGGAAACAAACAATGAGACAAATAAACACAACGCAAGTTCTTATTAGTATACGGAACCGGTCGTTTTATTTATCGCATACTCACTCCAGTTATGCAGTATGCGTATCGTATATTGTGGCAGAAGGCCCAGGAAATGTTAGTTATGTGCGAGAATTTAGGCCTACCGAGTGCGCGCGAACCCGACGACTCTATTGAGGTCACCCAGAGTGAAAATAAGGGGTAACGGCACCTGTCGTCGGCGTCAGCGTTTTTCTCCCTCCTCTCTTTGGTCTTCTCACGTCGCTTCTCGTTCCTCCTTCTTTCTTCTTCCTTCTCTCGTCGTTCTTCTCTCTTCTATTTTCTGTCTTCTCTCTTTTTTCTTCTATCTTCTGTCTTTTCTCTTCGCTCTTCTCTCTCCGGGCTTCTCTCCTCCATCTTCTGTCTTCTCTCTTCTATCCTCTCTCTTCGTCTGTCTATCGTCTCTTTCTTCTTTCTTCTATCTCCTGTCGTCTCTCTTCTTTCTTCTATCTCCTGTCTTCGCTCTCTTTTCTTCTATCTTCTGCCTTCTCTCTTCGTTCTTCTTTCCTCTCTCTTCTATCTTCTTTCTTCTGTCGTCGCTCGTCTATCTTCTGTCTTCTCCTTTCTTTACTCCATCTTCTGCCTTCTCCCTTCGCGCTTCTTTCTTCTCTCTTCTACCTTCTCTCTTTGCGCTTCTTTCTGCTTTCTCTCTTCTATCCTCTCTGTTCGCCTGTCTGTCGTCTCTCTCTTCTTTCTCCTGTCTTCTCTCTCTTTTCCTTCCATCTTCTGCCTTCTCTCTTCGTTCTTCTTTCCTCTCTTTTCTATCTTCTGTCATCTCTCTTCTTTCTTCTATCTCGATCCTGTCTTCGCTCTCTTTTCTTCTTTCTCCTATCTCCTATCTTCTGTCTTCTTTCATCTTTCTTCTATCTCCTGTCTTCTCTCTCTTTTCTTCTATCTTCTGCCTTCTCTCTTAGTTCTTCTTTTCTCTCTCTTCTTTCTTCTGTCGTCGCTCCTAGTAGTAGTAGTGAGTCATTAGCCTCGTCTACACGACGACGCTTAACTCGAGTTAACGATTATGTAGCGTCTACACGACAACACCCGATAGCGATTATTACCGATTTATTGTGCGTGCGTGTGTACGTGCGTGTGTACGTGCGTGTGCACGTACACGTGCGTGCGTCCGTGTGTGTGCACGTACACGTGCGTGCGTGTGTGAGCGCGTGTGCATGTGCACGTAGACGTGCGTGCGTGCGTGTGCACGTACACGTGCGTGCATGCGTGCGTGTGTGCATGTGCACGTGCGTGCGTCCGTGTGTGTGCACGTACACGTGCGTGCGTGCGTGCGTGTGTGCATGTGCACGTAGACGTGCGTGCGTGCGTGTGCACGTACACGTGCGTTCGTGCGTGTCTGCGCGCGTGTGCAGGTACACGTTCGTGCGTACGTGCGTGCGTGTGCAGGTACACGTGTGTGCATGCATGTGCACGTAGACGTGCGTGCGTGCGTGCGTGCGTGTTCACGTACACGTGCGTGTATGAGTGTGTGCGTGCGTGCGTGCATGTGTACGTACATCGTACTAGTGTTGCCGCCTATGGTGGAGTTATGTACTATTCGCGAACTCAGGTGTTGCGTCAGCTGAAACTGGCCGAGTAAATTTTCCATTCGTATTCTATTTTAATTATCTTTTTATTTATTTCCTCCTTATCTTTTTAATCTGCACTTTACTACTGCTTGACTTTTCCCTTATTTGATTTTGTGTATTGATTTGTATTGTGTATTGATTGTGTGGAATTTGTGGGTAACCTGGTTTTCCGATCCAGGTTTTTAGTGAATCCAAAAATGGCCGCCTCCTGTAGTGTGTTGTTGTTTATATAAATAATAAATAGAGTCTTCGGTGTAACCGAAATCTCTACACAAATGTATAATATTTTATATATTCCTTCCTGATAGGATGCGTCATAGATATTATATAGATCTATTATAAACGCCTGATATATAGATTTATACAATCCTTCATGCGCGTTATGTATGATATAATATTAATACTAATAATAGTAATACACTATACAGTACTAGTAGTAGTAGTCAGCCACAAGTTTCCTTTTCGCGTTGGTAAACCTACGACGTGTAACAGTCGGAGAGCCTGGTCGCTTTATGTATGATATGTTCATTTAAAATTACTAGTGTCACTACTGACTGTAAATTAGGCCCTACCCATTGAAGCCCTGCTGGAAGCACCAATCCGCAATCGTGATGTTAGTGTGGTAGATGTGATACTGAGTGATAGGCCTGCACAGTGATAGCCAGGCAGTGAGATGACGTCGTCTGACATAGGTTGAGTATATCGATAATAATCAAGGATTTGTGACTGATAGTGTTACCCACTGATCTACATATAACGTATATAAATTACGCTGTGGCTATATGCCTGGCAGCCGGGCATGGTCTTCGATTTTCTAAATGCCCGGCAGTTCCTAACCCTAACCCTAACCTTAACCCGGCCCTAACCCTTGTTTACTTGAGATAATGCTGAAAATTAAAAACTGCCGGGCATTTAGGAAATCGAATACCGTGCCCGGCAGCCGTCAGATATATGCCGGCCGGGCATATAGCCACTCTGTATAAATTATATCAAGAGTAGATAATATAATATCTATGTATATCTATATTATGAGTTATATTATCTACTCTTGATTATATATAGATCAGTGGTGGTACCACTACAAGGGGCATTTAATCGTTCCAATTAATTGGAAGCTTGCTAAGCATAGGCCTACTGTCTGTGTCTACATTTAATGATTAGCATTGCATAAAGCACTGTAGGTATCGTTTTGCACTTGGTGATCCGGGACGGCCACACCTACTGCATGTACATATACATATTGCTTTCTGATGGCACGTATATTTTACAGGGTGATGTGGCTGCTTGGGTTTACCATGATCGTCGGCACCTTCACAATGTCTAGAGGTAATAGTCAGGGTTCGAAATTAATGCTGCCTACAAAGGTCAGTTTGCTGCCAGATCTCAATGTAGAGTATTCAAGAAATTCCTGATAAAACCAATGTAAAATCAGATATGTTGCAGGCAATTTTATATTCCAAATGATGGGCAGTTGTTTAGGTCTGTTTTATTCAACTTGCGTTGACCCTACATTACCATCCGTACTTTATTCACTGTGCAAATTGGGTTGAGCTTGTATGACTTTATTTAGAATGAATGAATAGTGGGAAACAAGGCTAGAAGGTCATACCTGCTTCCTTATGGATAGAGGCAAACGGATAGTACTGTTGGGGTGGGAGGGAGTGTATCGAGCTTCTATGGTTTCTTTCAAGTTCCTGCATTGGTGAGTTAGTTTGCTGCCTGCTTTTTTCTCTGGCAGCCAGTAGTTGATTTCTAACCCTGATAATGATGTAGCCATGCACACTAGCATGTATACACACTTGCATACACACATGTAACTACACATGAGTTCATGCAGGCACGTACATGTATATGCACGCAGGCACGTACATGTATATGCACACAGGCACGTACATGTATATGCACACAGGCACGTACATGTATATGCACACAGGCACGTACATGTATATGCACACACCTGCACACACACATGCACGTAAGAATGCACACACACGTGCAGACACATGCACACGTGCGCATACACACAAATATATTACTTTTGTCTTACTGCAGGAGCCACGAACACCGACGCTGACATACTAGATGTCTATCCATCCAGTAAAGGTGATGGAATCAATGTAGTCTGGGCTCATGCTGTCAACAGTGATGCCACACTGACTGACGCTCTCTCAGGTATAAATCCAACCACTTTCAAAATGACTAGGCTAGGGTGTGGGAGGGGGATGAGTGAGAGGATTGGTAGGGTGGGTGAAAGAAGGGTGAGAGGATGGGTGGGGATAGATATGGATGAGTGAGAGGATGGGGGAGGGGAGAGACGAAGGTTGGGGCGGATAGGGATTAGTTAGAGTATAAGTGGGGTGGATGGGGGGGGGGCAGGATGAGGAATGGCTGAGAGGAGACTTTATAGATGGCTGAGGTATTGGGTGTAATGTATGTGTTGTTGTAGTGGTGAGAGGGAGGAAGGGGACGTCTATATAGAATAGATTGGATGTGGAGGGGGTATATATACACGCACATACGTATACTTTTACATACACATGATATACGTACATGTACATCTACACAAGCACGCGCGCACTCGCACACACATACACAGGGTTCTCGAAGCTTTTTCATTATAGCATGGCGGGTGCTGCCTTTACGGTCCTAGTTGCAAATCGCCGAAGGCGGTTTTCGTGCGGCGGGGGGG